ATGATGCTAGCCTTAGTTAGCCGCCCTACGTTTCAGTATTAAACACTTTATAAACATCAAAACATGGCACCGCAAAAGCGAGCGAACTTAATATAAATGTATATGGCGCCTGTGTACTTCTCTCACCTGTGAATACAACAACAAGACAGTCTCAGATGAATATCTGCTTCTGTGATCTCGTGTCCTTTCTGGTCTGGCTCGCTCATCTTAGCCCTGCCCTGCAGCTACTTTAGGTGAAAGTAGGTGAGTTTAGTCACACAAAGCGTTTTAAATTATAATAACCAGAAAAAATAGTGAGTGGGGCAAGGTAATGACACAAACTAATACAATAACAATTCTGCAAATAATTGTAGCCTTCTAGCCCGAAAGCCCCCCAAGTGGGGGGCTCTGGATTTTAAGGAGAAAGTTTAGCGTACAGCGTGTCGTACAATGCACTTTTCAGGAACCAATATAATGATGTTACACACATGTTATATACCCAGTTAAAGAAAAAATTCTGGGCTACAAGATCATGTAAGCCATTTTTACACACTCCAAACACAATTCTACACCACTAAAACAACCAACTAAAAGAATTACCAAATGATCACTCATATTTTGCCATGAGGGAGCCGACTCCACGCTCTGGTCGTAGCTACCAAGACAAAGCTAGAAGCTGACACGGAACATTCGACACAGATTACGCCAATATCTTCGATATATCTCTCCGTGAAACCATTACAGATATTGGAGCCAACAAGCACCAGAACCACAAACCGCTTTATCGATAATTATCAGAAACGCACCTCACCTCATCGTCGTTTTCGTAAAAAGAAAGGATAAAATCCTGGTAAATTCACTCAGATATCTGTTCAACGGATGTCTTGTTTGTCATAATTATGTTTCCGTGAAGACAGGGGTTGAATTTGAGCCCGAGGGAGCTGGGGGTAGGGATTTTACTTTCGGTGTATCGGATTTTACGCTTCGCGAGAGACGTTTTGGATTTTAACTGGCTAAGAGTGCTGTCAATCTTTCCCTCGTGGGGTTGGCTCAATTCTATTGTCTCTAACGCGTCGAAAGAGGGGTCATTCATTGAAATCGACCAATGGGCTGGTGACTTACAGGTCTGCATAGACACAGAGCAACAGGAGTCAGTCAAGCTCCATGATGACAGAGACACACAACAGGGCTCAGAGAGGATTCTGGCTCTCAAAATGAAGCCAAACTGCCGTATTTGGATGTATTGAACACCATTAGTGATTAAAAAAAAGTAAAATATATAGTTATATAGTATATAAAATTAAAATGGAACAGATGTTTCCAAAATTACCATTTTGGTGACCTCGCCTGACCTCTCTGTACTATAACATTGTGCTATGATTTGGGAGAGGTTTTAGACTTGCAGCTGCATCATGCCATATAAATAATAACAATAAAAGTGCTTTTTTTTCAGGCGACCCTGAAACTTTTCAATTTGAGCTGTGTGCCATCTTCATTTACTCTTAACCAGTAACATATACACTGATATTTACACATCTGAACAAATCTCACAAGTGTTACCTTTATTATAACATAAAAATTATTAAAATAGAACTTGTAGTTGCAGAAATACACTTTTTAGTATGGGTATTGTGAAGGATTTCAGTATTAAAAGCATTATTAGTAGGATTAATAGCGCCCTCGTGGTGAATAAAAGTGTCACAATAATAAAATGTCAAATATGAGTCACAATATGTTTACTTATGGAATGTATAATATGTTTATAATATTCTACTTATAGAGGATATTATATGTTACAGTATTTTACTCATTGAATGTATTAAACCATAGAATTATAGTCACTAAAGTTATTAAAACACTGTATGAATAGTTTTGAGGGTCAGAAAGGGATCATTTTGAGTGAGGCTTTACAGAGATGCAGCAGGGAATGGAGGTGACCTAATCGATGGAGAATGTGGCCAGAGAGGAGATGGACAGACCGGCCATGCGGGCCACGATGGAGAGGAGGAGTTCGAAGATGTTTGCCACAAAGGATCGATATAGGGAGGGGACAGAATTCAAATGGAGCCAATCACTGATCGACGCGGAGGATCATTCAGACCTTTTGGGACAGTTTCGGACACTTTCCGACTTTCAGGGGATATAAAGACAATGTTTTAGGGAGTTTTTCTTAGACCACATCCGCTCTCGTTTTTCAGCACTTGGAATGGCCAGACCTGTGAGTGAGATGCGTGTATGTGATCTCTGCTCTCGAGAACATTACTATTAATAGTGTAATTCAGATTGTAATTGTTAGCTTTGTGTAGTACATTAAATATAGTTTTGATTTTAAACCAGATCCAGTAACTTTTTGGCTGCGCCTGCGCTGTAAGAAGTAAACAGAACAGAGCGTAGTCCAGCGGCCTAGCAAGCTCTCATCCTTTGTTCCTAGCCTCAACAGTATGCAATTTTTGAGCAGAGGCCTAAAAATAGGTCTAGGGTTAAGAAGGTTAAAATGTCCAGGGTGCCACACAAACACATTGCTTGATGTACACTGGTTGTGACTGACTACTCGTCACAGTTTTGTCATTACCACATTAGCTAAAAACATTGACTGTCAGGAGTCGATTTTAAACCTACAGCTCCAGAGGAGCATGAAACTTGAACGCAGCACCTTGGACCGCTCTGCCATCCTGACCATTGTGGACCAATATATTTATCTTTCTGAGACAGAAGCCTGTCACCTGCAACCCTGCTTTAAATCAGATTCAATTGAGATTTGAACTGAGTTTTGTGAATTTTGGTAAGAACAAATATTCAGAACTCCTGTTTATTTACAGGATAACTCCACACTGTAATTTGAGTACTTCTTACTGGACAGTATTTTAGAAACTCAAACTAAAGTGTTTACTGTCTCGATCTTGGGTGTAAACTAAGTGGGCACAGTTGACAAGAGAGCAGATTTTCCAACAATGCACACGTTACTGTCTTTAACATGAAGAAGGTGGAAAGGTTGCATTCTTTAACCCGTACTAAAGCTTAAGATAAGGTCCCACCAGAGTGCTAACCATTACACCATGGCAGTGGCGGGCCGTGCATTTTATACCTGGGCCTTCTGTGCTGTCCTACTACAGTTGAACAGCTACGGTGCAGATACATGAATCCGTGCATGACGGGACGCTGCGTCATTAACGGACAATGCATAGTCAAATCAACGTAATTAACACAATGACAACAACAAAGTCATAAGAACCAGTCACATATATTCATATGACAACAAAGCATGACACATCAATCCAGCAACACTGCAGCGGATCCACGCATTCCACCACACAAGAGCACGAGCCATTCAAAGATTATTCATAAAAACGACACGATAGACAAATGAACAGTGGTAACGTTACTGCAGATGTAAAAAAACAAACGCTCCATCTCCAACTAACTTCTGCCAGCTTCCTTAAATTTCACATCAGTCACGCGCTGGCCCACTGACCAATCACGGCGCACGTTAATGCTGACGTACTTACCAGGCTACCTGGGTAGCAGTGGCACGTCAAAGAATAAGCCCAACATGTCAAACTAAAGATCTGATTGGTTGAAGACTATGACAATCAACAATATCGTCCCCATTTACTTAAACTGCAAAGGCTCTCTAGCGGGCATCGGGCCTCTCTCCTTACATAGAGACATAGGGGCTGAATCTGATTGGATAAAAGCTCTCCTTAAAACAAGCTGTGCTGGAAGCAGAGCAACAGAGGAAGACAGGAGCTGTGCAATGAGAAAATAAGCTAATGGGAAAAAATATATAATACATGTAGTGTATTTGTGAAAAAATAGTAAATTATAAAATAGCTATAACTTTGTGATTCTGTTTAGGCCAGCAGAGAAGGCTTAGCTGGCCCTGACGGCCCACCACTGGAATTACCTATTTTGTCCCTGTGACCGACATCAGAATCAGAATCAGATTCAGCTTTATTGGTCATGTATATGAACGCATACAAGGAATTTGACTCCGGTTTTAACAGTGCTCTCAACACACAGAAATTACAAACAACAAGGACAACAAAGTAGAACAGAGGTAAGACATTTAAACATTTAACGACTATGTACAATATAAATATAAGTGTATATTCAAAAGTATATGAACATAAACCTATACAACAACAATGACAATGAAATTGAGGTGATAGTGCAAATGGTGGTAATAGTGCAGTATCAGAGTGACGGCCAGTGGAAAGAAGCTGTTCCTGTGTCTGGTGGTTTTGGCGTACAGAGCTCTGTAGCGCCTACCAGAGTTGTAACAGGTTGTGTCCAGGGTGTGAAGGGTCTGCAGTGATCTTTCCAGCCCGTTTCCTGACTCTGGAGGTGTACAAGTCCAGGATGGAGGGCAGGCTGGCACCAATAATTCTCTCTGCAGACCTTTTAGTCTGTTCCTGTCCTGTTTAGTGCCCTATCCAAATAACACAGTGATGGAGGAGCAGAGAACAGACTGGATGATGGTAGAGTAGAACAAAATCAGCAGCTCCTGAGGCAAGTTGAACTTCCTGAGCTGGCGCAGGAAGTACACCCTCTGCTGGGCCTTTTTCGTGATGGTGTTGAAGGCCCACTTTAGGTCCTGGGAGATTGTGGATCCCAGAAACCTGAAGGTCTCCACAGTAGACACACTGCTGTTGAGTATGGTGAGGGGGGCAGTGTTGGGGGGCTCCTCCTGAAGTCCACTGTCATCTCCACAGTTTTGAGCTGACCACACCAGAGGACCAGCTGTTCAGCCTCCTGTCTGTACGCAGACTCATCACCGTCCCTGATGAGGCCGATGACCGTTGTGTCGTCTGCGAACTTCAAGAGTTTAACAGTTGGGTCCTCTGAGGTGTAGTCATTAGTGTAGAGGGAGAAGAGCAGTGGGCAGAGCACACATCCCTGGGGGGTGCCAGTGCTGGTAGTCCGATGCTGGATGTGATTTTTCCCAGCCTCACCTGTTGCGTCCTGTCTGTCAGGAAGTTTGTGATCCACTGACGGGTGGAGGCTGGCACAGTGAGCTGGGAGTGTTTGGGTTGAAGTATTTCTGGGATGATGGTGTTGTTCATATATTCCACATAGTCCAGTGTTTCCCAAAGTAGGGGCCGACCCCCTCAGAGGGATCAGAAGATCACTCTGGGAGGTAATAAGGTGATTAAGCAAAGAAGAAAAAACTAAGTTCTGCTACACCTTTTTTTAAATGTACTTTGTTTTGGGAAATAATGGATAATTTCACCTCTTTCAGTATTGAACGGTTATTTAAATAAGACTTAGCTTAGAGTGGAAATGACTCTTTGATGGAACTACAACTCAACTGCAACAGGAAATCTGAAAAGTGATAAGGGGCCCCAACTTCCCACTGCTTTATTGTGAGAGGTCAAAAGCCAAAAAGTTTGGAAACCAGCAGCTTAATCTTAAACAATGTGTTGTATTTAATAAGCCTTATTGTACTTTTTTTCTTTATGTATAAATCTATCTGAAATGTTGTGAAGTAGTATAGAGTGGCTTGAAATGGAATTCAACACTAGGGATACTTAATGTCTCCAGGGCTGCATTACAATACAGCAAAAGTAAACTATAGACCATTTGGTGATGGGATCACTGGTCATGACATCAAATTGCTCCAAGAGCGTAAAGTGAGGGGCCAATGGCCCTTTCCCCACTTCTTACCCCCCTACTTCCAGCGCCCTTGCTCCGACCACATCCACCGTCAAACTCAACCTTAATTTTGATCTTGACTGTAACCTGTAACCTTTCATGACCTTTCATTTTGCAGGGTTTTGATGCTATTGCTGTTACAAAATCTGTCCAAAGACAGACAGACCTGGCAAAAAAAAACGCTTCAGCGGTAGTCCCAGCAACAGTAGGTGTCCCCAGGGCCATATTAACCCCACATTTCGCAGCTGAGGCAAGCGGCTCGACTGATAAGCCTCCTTCTCATCATTGACAACATGCAACATGTATGTGTTTAGCTGGGCGTTTTTGTTCAGGGACTCTTCAATCCAATCAATGATCACATTTCAGCTTAGCTTCTTCAGGTGTGCCATCAAAGAGGTACCAAGAACATGGAGACACTTTTCACCAGGTACATTTGGTTCAGGAAACTACTTGAAACATGGTTGCTTGTTGTTTGCTTCAGACTGATGAAGGGCTTCTGGAACAGTAGACTGTTGTTCCAGAAATGCATCTCCAGTTTGTAAACTGAGACAGGGGAGCCAAGATCTATTGAGGCACGTATTTACAGCTCAATTGCCAGCAAGTGGGAAAGAAAATGCCCATTATGTAAAGTCATGCATTCAATTCTCCAGTTTAAGGGATGCTGCTGCTTTATTGGATTGCTCACCCCCGGCCTCGGTCAAACAGACACACAGACCTGCAGCTCTTTACACATCCATGACAGACAGAGAGCAGAGGAGACCGATGGATACAGCAACTGGTCGCTACCTTTTTGTAAAGTCCCAGTCTCCCCTGTGTAATGCTGTTACAGGCGGAGGGCTACACACCTCCCACCCAAAGTGTGATGCCCAAAAACGTCCTGAACAAAATAATAAGAAAGGAGAAATGAAATGCAGAGGGCATGGTCTCTGTAAATACAGTCACCGCCACACACTTCTAGTTGGTCATAATGATGAATGAATGGGATTACTTTGTTTACAAGTCTGTTAATTTTTTTTTCAGGAAACTCCTTCACAGTATACCTTTCAGATAAAATATGAATACTAACAAAATACTATTTCTTCACCCCTCAAAACGTCTTTTTTTTTAGAACTTTATTTCACTCTCCTTTGTATATATTTTCTGTACTTTATTTGCCTGAATGCATTTAATTGGTGTGCTGAATTATTTTTTTCTCCCAAAAGAAGAAGTTTGTCACGTTTTGAAAGGTAATGCATGAATAAAGTGACGTTATTACCACTACTTCTTGTTCTAATAATAATAATTCGGATAATAACTCAATATCATTGTTTATTAATTTCAAAGAGGCATTGTGAGTTTGATATGTAAACACAAATACATTTCAACAAAAACATTTTAAATGTGTTTTTTCTCTCTCAAAATACATAACGCGGTAATGACCACCAGTAATCGCGAGGATATGAAATACTAAGGCAGTTCCGGGCAGTTCTGAAATCTTAAAGGCTACCACAAAAACATATTGGACAGAAATCCAATCAAATTGTTGCAAGTGTTTGACAGGTTTGAGTGGAGACCAATAGAATAACTGTAAACATGCTGGAAAGGGGCGGGATCTAGGATATCCAATGCCACCAGCTCAATGCGCTTTGTTGTTCTTGTGGGACAGAAAGACGGATACAATATTTCTAAGTCGTTTTAAACAGACCGGGTTAAGCAAAGATACTATTTTACATGACTCAATATAATCAAACGCCAACCAAGCGTGGACTTTAACCGATGTCGTGTGGTGGAAAGCGGCGTATTTGTGGGAGCAAGTTAGCTCAGCATTGAGCTAGCATAAGCTAACGTTGCTCCGGGAGGGTATCCACTGTCCAGATTGGAGCGGAAGGAATTCCAGGCACTGGGAAGAAGGGGAGACATTTCTGCTGGGATGTCTCACGCAAGTTGGAAAAAACATGTATTTTACGGTTCCGACTCGAGTCATGGTACTACGAACCTGAAGTATGTGTTCATTTGACTGATATCAAATTGCAGGAACCTTTTGATGGTGGTTTTTATTAGCAGTTAACGTGTCAGATTAGTGAGTTAGCCACGTAGCTAACGTTACGTAGCCCCCAGTGGGAAGACGTTTAAAATGGCGGAGGGCTGGCCCATTCCTTCGGCCGTTGTTTTCATGCTGCTGAGTTTGAGTGCCTGGGCTCTGGAGTCTTGTCCTGCTCCGTGCTCGTGTTCAAAAGGACAATATGATGTCCGTATTCTGGACTGCAACAGGAAAAGGCTGTCGACGGCTCCTGGGGACCCACTGGACGGGATAACCCAAGTGTAAGTACACAAACATTAAGATGCAGATGTGTGGCATTCACTGAATCCACAGCTCTGGTTTGTTGCTCAACCAAGGGGTGCATCATAACACACCACGCTATCCTGTTGAGATGTAGTTTAGCCACTTATCTAAAGCCACAACGTTGTGATAATGGCGTAACAGTTGTTTTCCTTGTTTTCATAATGAAGGCATCAGTGGAACATTTGAAAATAATGTTTATTACATACAAACGAATTCATCCGTTGCTCGTATAAACTCTGACTGAAATATAAGTCGTCAGAATTAGCTTTCAGTTGTCAGTTTATTAGGTACACCTAGTTAAAACCAATGCAATACAAGAGCTTTGCAATGTATTCATGAAGGCAATGATGTTCAGTCCAGAGAGGTGTTGACTGAGGTTTGTTGCCTCTTTGGAGGTCGTAGTTTGTTGTGCTGTTTATTAGCATTGCATTCTTTCTGATGTTTCTACAAAATATTACAACCTTCTTACTGGTAGCATTTGTTGCCTGGCTGTTGAATAGAAGTTTGTAGTTTTAGCTCGAGTTTGTTAATAAACTGACAACTGAACAGAAATATCAAGCCCTGGTGGGTAAATTGCTCAGAATTTTTGGGAACATGTTGTATAATCTATGATCTGCCCGATGCTGAAAGGAGTTTAATCTTCTTTATTTATTGCGCGCTTTTCAATTATTCTGCAGCTGATTATTTCCAACTTCAGACTTTTTATCGTGATACTAATGTGTTCAATTTCATTTCAGCACCATGAATCACAACGAACTGACTGTTATCCCCTTTCTCGGAGATGTGTCCTCAAATATCACGTCGCTGTCACTGTAAGTATAAACTCCCCATCATGTTGTCTCGCCTCTCCAGTCACGACTCACACAAATAGTTAAAACAGATTTGAATTTCTGTTCCTAAAGGCACGCCTCCTTTTGTGTTTTCTTTCTTTACATGCTTCTCTCAAAGAAAAAAATACTGCTGAACATTTATTTACAAAAGTAAACACAGACATCTTATTTTTTTTAAGTTAAGACCCTTTGGGAGGAATTCAAAATGTTCAATCTTTTGATGCCTTGTTATGTTTTGTATGCAAATACAGTGAAACCAAAACATACGGTACCATTAGGTATTGTCTATTGTAACTCAGCAACAGATATGAGTCTTTCCTCATGTTGATATGATTTGAGTATCCCGTAGACATGTAGTACTCAGAAAGGATGCACTGATCCGATACTCATAGTGGATATCGGACCTATCCCGTGTCAAATACCTGGATTGGGTATTGGTGACGATGGAGCCGCTCTATTCTATTCGGTTCTATGTTTACGTCTGATTACACTTGTGCGTTCTACGTCATGCTTCAGCAGCACGCCAGTAGGCTGCATAGCTGAGAGAGATAACAACATGTCAGCTGTTTGGAAGAATTTCACACTTGCTACGCCAACAAGGTGGACTATTTTTTTCTATGTCTAAGATTAACTGTCTATCGACATTTAGTTTAACAAAGGAGGAAAGCGATGTTCAAGTCAAGCCTGATGTTGCCTCACACGTAAAAGAATGATCCCAGCCAGTTCTAACAGTGAGACATGCAGCTTATTAATGACGCTGGTATCGTATCGGTACTTGGTGTCCGCCAATACCCAAAGCCCACGTATAGGCAACGGTACTTAAAAAGGTTGGACTTGTGCATCTCTGCATCATTATGACTTAGAAAACTAATACCGGTCATATTGTTTTTATATGATTCAGAGTCCACAATCGGATCTCAGAACTTTTGATGCATCAGCTGCAGCCATACGTTTCCTTGGAGACAGTGGACCTGACATCCAACTCAATCTCAGAGCTCAGAGTCGGATCCTTCCCCTCCATGCAGCTGAAATATCTGTAAGTAATCCTCTTCATTTAACAGTTTTTTTCATCATGACAGCAGTTCTGGCTGAGCACAGAAGACACCTTGTTTTGATAAGTTTGATTTTGTTGAGTAAGCATCTTTATTGTATGTGGATATTCACATGCAGCAGACTTAACTACAGAGCAAACAGTCTTCTCCCTCTTGATTTTGGCTCCAATGTTTCTGCTCTTTTATCTCAAAGGAATTTGAGTAATAACAGGATCAGCGTCCTCGAGCCCGGCTGCTTTGAAAACATCTCAAGCTCCCTGCTGGTGCTGAAGCTGAACAGGAACAGATTAGCTGTGCTGCCATCCAAAGTCTTCAAACTTCCACAGCTTCAGTTCCTGTAAGTATCGCATGATGCATTACAGTACAAAAAACTAAAATAATTTGTCAAGGGTTTAACAGTTGATATTCGGCAGACACATCTTTGGATTAAAGCCGGATGAATTTGGGGTAAATCCAATGGCTCTGGTTTCTTTGGGTATAACTGTACTCGGTTGAAGGAAGCTGGTCTTTACTCTCGTTGCAGTGAAATGAAGCGTAACAAGATCAAGATCGTGGACAGTCTGACATTCAAAGGGATGGACTCACTGAGGTCACTGAAGATGCAGAGGAATGGCATCACGAAGCTCATGGATGGAGCCTTCTTTGGACTCAACAACATTGAAGAACTGTAAGTCTGGTGTTGTAGATTCTTCTTTAAAGTCACATTTGACAGTTGGTGCTTTAGGAATTGTGTAACAGTGCTGAAAAAGCTACAAAGATTACAGTAAATGCACAAAATGTTGTTTGGGAAAAACACAAAAGTAGGAGGAAACCTCACAACCTATTCAGTATTTTTATGCACCTGTCAAAGCAATTCATGTAATCACGGTTGTTTTTTTGTTAATGCCATTCTGTTTATCCCATCTCTGTCTCAGAGAGCTGGAGCACAACAACCTAACAGAGGTCAACAAAGGCTGGCTGTATGGACTGCGCATGCTGCGCGTCCTGCGGGTCAGCCAGAATGCTGTCGGCATCATCCGACCAGACGCCTGGGAGTTTTGCCAAAAGCTGGAGGAACTGTGAGTGTGTTTGCTTCATAGCTAGAATCCCCTCGCAGCTAAGAGTTTTTACTTTCTTTCCCTGGGCTCTGAAGTCCATTCTGTGTGCTCAGAGGACTTACTGTTATCTTGCTGCAGTACAGTTGGTGTCTGGAGCTGATTCAGTGCTGTCTTGGCTCTGGTGGATGTACGCCATCCTTTTTTTTTGTACAATTTTGTGAAAATGCCTCATTTTGGAGTATTATTCTTAAATGTGCGGTACAAGACTGGTGTTGAATACAGAATTAGTTTGCAATAATCTTTCTCATATTTCTGTTTCGTGCAGAGACTTGTCCTTCAATCATCTGACTCGACTTGAGGAGACAGCTTTTGTTGGATTAGGTCTCCTGGAGAGCCTGAACCTCGGAGAAAACTCCATCAGCCATTTGGGGGAGGGAGTGTTCAGCGGCCTAGCAAGTCTGCGCAACCTGTAAGTGCTACTCGGAGAAATCTGTCTGAAATCTGTGTTACCTATTTGATCTAACAGGTGTAATATTGCGCAGTATACGAAATATAACCCTCCTGACATGTTCTTGGCTCTGTGCATTCCTATGAAGGCTGCTAACTACAGTAGGTCTGTGTTTGCGTCACTCTTCATGTGTAGTTCTGTAGAAATTGTCCGCATCCTCTAATATAGTCTTTGTTACGTTCAGATCCTGTTTGTCATTAGTGTCATGTGTAGTCTGAGATCAAAGCACCCACTGTGTCGTTTCCATAGAATCCAGTACGTCTTGGTGTTGTGTCCTCTGTGCTGCCGTTCACTGTGAGCGTCACTTTGATTTCAAATGAGTTGAAGCACGCATAGGTGTTACATCGCTGGGAGCTTTATTACCCAGAGCAAACACATCTACATTGAATATTTGAAAGGCGCCCTCAGTGCTGAGTCCATGTTTTCCACGTGAGCCGTGTTACTGGATAGAAGGCTGTTGTAATATTGTGCGTGGGAGAGTAAACTAGTCTCCACACTGAGCCAGAGGTTGATAGAATCTTTTGTTAGTGTGGGTAGAGCAAGGCTTCTTCTGGTCTGGGATTTGAGTTTGTTTGTTTTTGTTTTTTTTGATATTTCATCAAGCAGGGATGAAATAGCATCAGCATATATGATGCTCAACATTTCAGTGTTTACTGAGCGATATGCTCAACCAGTAAAACAGCAGCTCTAGCTTTCTTTGGGGTTGGATACCACTCGATCGTGTGCACCACTCTGTTCATTCAGTTGATGGGAGTTAAAGTTTTTTTTACAATAATGTCCTCCTGCATTAATACATCCCGTATCAGGGCCAAGAAAATACATTGCGTGGCTGTACATAGTTTACTTACCATTTACAATATGGAGGTGTGTGTGTGTGCAGTGTCGATCACAGAGCGAGTTAAAGAGCAGGCAAGAAGCAGATAAATGAGTGATGTAGATGTTTAAATTAAGAATTGATGCGTCGTCTGATCGGCCTTTATAGAGACCAACGATCAAACTATTTAGAACAATACCAGCTGAAAACGGTTGATGGCCGATCGATAGGGAGCGCCCGTGACCTGATCCAAATGCGGCAATAAACTTCAGCGAAGCCAACAGAAATAATAAATAAAAGGCATTTACAACCCCCCACAAAGATCTAAATTGGATGGATATAGTGCTTTGACATCATGCGTCAAAGCTCTCTGAGACAACGGAGCACCAGAGTAAAAGGAAAGAGCCTCTTTTATTTCACATGGTTTTTCTTTTCTTTTCCGGTTAGTTGGCGGTTAATGGGTGTCCTCTATCAAAAGCAAATGAACCACCATATTAACACCACCACAAAAGCTCTGGAAATACTTTGTAGCACAGAATCTCAGCCTAATTGAGCAAGTATTTCGTCTTCATCACACATTTACCTGCGAGCTAAGACATGTTGATAGGAGAGGAAGGTGTTGAGTCATCATTTGCCACGCAGACTTCCACTTAAACCCGCCGAGCTGCAACGAGGAAGGGGTTATATTTGGGAGTGTTTGACCATCCTCGGAGCTTTCATGGGAGACGTGGAGTTGGGAGAGCGCTGAAGTTCTTTCAGAGGTGGCCAAGCATGAGGAAAGAGAAACAAAAGAGCCCATAACCATTGGGGGAAACACAAGGCTTCTCTGTGTTTCCAGTGGACCCATGAACTGTCCCAGTGCTAAACAGAGCCAATTAGTGTCCCCTCGTCGGAACCGCCAGGGCAGCGAACTGTAACACACCGTGGAAGGATGGTGTCTCAGATCTAAGATGAGAGCCACTGCCACCGACAGCCACAGTGGAAATAATGTGGATCTCTTTACACAGACGGGGGATGTGATGTTGTTGTTTAATATCTTAAATGTCACTCTTTGTTTTTTCAGAGATATCCGCAATAATGAAATCTCCTGGGCCATTGAAGACTCCATCGGTGTGTTTGATGGAATGAAGAAGCTGAACACACTGTGAGGACACTCAGATTGTACACATACAGATATGTATAAGTCTGATTTAATATAAGATCCTTGCTTGTAAAATATCTTGTATTTAGAGGAATGTGGCAGGTGGATCTTTCATTGTGTGGCAGTGTTCCAGATATTTGGTTGCTCACTACGTTTCTGGCGAGAAATGTGATGCTTTAATCAGCTTTTTTTCTAACTGGCATTGAAAGGCTGCTGAAACGTCCCAATTTTGTAGCAGGTTTATTGGCTGAAGCTTTTTACTGAATCTCATGTGGCCTTTTTTTCTTTTTTACAGAATCATACAGCGGAACAAAATCAAATCAATCACTAAGAAAGCGTTTGAGGGCCTGGAGGAGCTGGAGCACCTGTGAGTAAAGCCGCAGTTCTACGTGTGTCTCAGAAGGATCTCTTGTTGTTGAATGAGTAAAGATACCACTGTCCTGTTGTTGTCTTATGCTTGTAAAGTTGGATGCCATGTTGATCAAATCACATGTGTCTGATCCATGTTTCTGTCCACTCTGCAGGGACCTCAGCAAGAATGGCATCATGTCGATACACCCCGAGGCGTTGTCCCATATGAAGCTCAAAGTGTTGTGAGTAGTCACTAAATTAATCTTCCAGCTCTCATGAGCACATTTGGAAGCCGTGTTATTATTGTTTCTTTGACTCATGTAACAATGTGGCTTTCATTAAAAAGGAATTAAGAATGTGTGTTATTGCTGAGTCATTACATTGCTGTCTTACCAAATCGTTAGTTTGTTTAGTGCAGTTGGTCACGCAAATATTTGTGATTCCACTTTTGAGTTGCAGCAGCATCATCCGCGTCATTAGGACGGCTGTGTCTTCTGCCTGTGAGAGAGGATGGTGGAAATGTCCGTTGGCTTTTTGAGCTTTCCATCAGCCCATCTTAGGAGGGCCTCTCAGGCAGGGGCTAACAAAATGCCCCAGCGGCTGTCAAACCCAGAAAATGTACCGTGACAGCAGTCGTATTCTGTTGTTAATTAGACTATAGTTCTATTTCACTTGGCGAGTGTATAACATAGCTACAGGAACATAATGGTTACACCCTCGTAATTAAGGGTTATTTTTGGCTTACGTGTATTAAAACGTGGTTGTGGAGGCGTGGTTAGCAATGAAGCCATACACATACTACATGGAGAGGGAACTCAAATTCACTCAGAGCATGTCCCTACAAGGAAACTCAATGAACTAGCTTACAGTAGCTTTGGCAACACAACAATTCACCCCAGACAGTCTTTAGGCCAGTAGGATTCTGGTCGTTGGTCGTCTGTTTGGGTGAATCTATTCAAACCTTTTATCGAAAAAGTGTGTAATGAATAGTTTTGATGCAAATGTTACTCAAGCAGCACGTGATGTGTTGTCTGTGTAGATAATTGCCCTCTTTATAATATTTAGGTAAATTAGTAAATTCATGTTTTCTTTTCTTAAAGGGTAAATCACAAATCCATCTGTAATGTTCACCAACTCATCCTGTAATTCCTCTTCATTTGTTCAGTGGGTTCATCTCGTCCTCATTAATCTCTGCAGCAGAGTCCAACTAATTTCACAACTGACTCATCTCACGCTTCCTCCATCACCTTTGTGTTCTCAGCGTCCTGAACACGAGCAGCCTGCTGTGTGACTGTCACATGCAGTGGCTCGGGCCCTGGCTGACTGTCAGCCAGTTCCAGCAGTCTGTCTCCGCTGTCTGTGCTCATCCTGCCGGCCTACTTGGTCACAATGTCCTGTCTGTCAGCCCGGAACAGTTTGTTTGTGGTCAGTCCCATTCTCTCTGTATTTCTCTTGTACGGTTCCCGGTCCGATCCAATATAGGTACTGGAAAGTGTTGACGTAAGGCAGGAAGGGGCATTGAGTTTTCCTTTTATTGTAGATTATTATCATTATTTGGCTCAAGGAAGTTTTATTCAGAGGCTTCATAACCAGTTGCACAAAATGTCTGGAACACTGGGGACAGTTGTTCGGTCCCAATAGAGGCCCAAGCCTACCGCCATGTTGCTCTTCCTGTATTGGCATACTTTATGTTGAACAACAACTAATATCTTACATTTTAAGTGAAGAGGTCTGCTGTAAAAAAAAATTCACGCTTTCTGTCCCCGCCCCTCCACAGATGATTTCCCCAAGCCTCGGATCACAACCCACCCGGAGACGTACGTGGCGATGCGGGGCAACAACGTGACCCTGACCTGCGTGGCGTCCAGCAGCAGTGACTCACCGATGACCACAGCTTGGCGGAAGGACGGGGAGGTGCTGTATGATGCAGAGGTGCAGAACTACGCCCAGTACCAGGAGGGAGAGCTGATCTACACCACTGTGCTGCACCGCCTCAATGTCAACTTCACCGATGAGGGGCGCTACCAGTGTGTGGTCTCCAACCACTTTGGCTCCAACTACTCCAACAGGGCCAAGCTCACTGTGAATGGTGAGGATGTTTTTGTCAAAGACTGTGATATCTATCAGTTGGGCTCATACGATTGTCTCTTGCAGTCTTTTGCTTTCTTGAAGCTATAAGGTGCTGGTACGGCTCACATCATTGTAATCTATCTGTCCCACTAATGATAATGTCGTTTCTTTCCAGAGCTGCCAACATTTCTTAAGACTCCCATGGATCTGACGATCCGGACCGGGACCATGGCCAGGCTGGAGTGTGCCGCTGAAGGCCATCCATCACCCCAGATTGCTTGGCAGAAGGACGGAGGCACTGACTTCCCGGCTGCCCGGGAGCGCAGGATGCATGTGATGCCAGACGATGACATATTCTTCATCGCCAACGTGAAGACAGAAGACATGGGAGTGTACAGCTGTACGGCTCAAAATGCAGCTGGCAGCCTGTCTGCAAACGCGACTCTCACCGTCCTGGGTGAGTCGCCCATCTGATCTGCAGAGCATGTACACCATGTTTTACTACTCAGCTGAGTCACTCCGCTCAAATCGGCTGCTCGTTTTTGTCTGACACTCATCTCACATCCTTTTTTGTTTGCTGATCTGCAATTTTAACTGACGACGATGTAAGTGCAAACCTTATTATGTCCACGGAGGATACTTGAATCTGGCTGAATGGAGTGTTTCTGACACAACTGTTATGTCACAGCTCTTAATGAAAGGTCCGTGTGCAACATGAGCACCCAAAGTATTATGAGGTTAGCTGCATCCGTATGACAGATTTGCCTTGGACAAACGCAGAGATACTCACTCAGTCACTTAAACACACAACGGCTTAAACATTAGCATGAAGAAATGACCAACTTGACCTCGTAAACGTCCACCTGAACACTTGCCACTGATAATCCTTCCTAAATCTAAAAATCTTCTCTTCCAGAAACTCCATCCTTCATGCGGCCGCTGGAAGACAGAACAGTGGCGCGTGGTGAAACCGCCGTACTTCAGTGTATAGCCGGCGGCAGCCCCGCCCCCCGTCTCAACTGGACCAAAGACGACGGGCCTCTGCTGCTCACTGAGCGCCACTTCTTCGCTGCAGCCAACCAGCTCCTTATCATCGTCGACGCCGGTCCTGCCGATGCCGGGAAATACACCTGCATCATGTCGAATACTCTGGGAACAGAACGCGGCCACATCTACTTGGGCGTCTCGCCATCGCCCAACTGCGAAACGGGCACGGGATACAACCAGGACGGCTGGACCACCGTGGGCATCGTGGTGATTGTGGTGGTGTGTTGTGTGGTTGGAACCTCGCTGGTCTGGGTCATTGTCATCTATCACATGCGCAGGAAAAGCGAGGACTACAGTATCAGCAACACAGGTCAGCAGTTCAGACACATAACGGTTTAAGAGAAAGTAAGGTCATAAAAATGTGCCTCAGAGCATGTAAGAGTGTTGGGAATGTATCGTTAAAAATTAACCCTGCTCACAGAACTCGCGATGTCGTGTAACAAAACGTGTCTCTGTCTGTTCCAGATGAGATGAATTTGCCAGCAGACATCCCCAGCTACCTGTCCTCTCAGGGTACTTTGTCAGAGCCTCAGGAAGGCTACAGTAACTCTGAGGCTGGCAGCCACCAGCAGCTCATGCCTCCCCTTTCCAATGGATACGTCCACAAGGGCACAGACGGTGAGTTTTCAGGATTCAAAGGTTTTTGACCTTCCCATGCTCGAATCCTTTTTAAAATGAGGTCACTGACTATTGTCATTTATGTCCCAGGTGTGTGTTATGGAGACACGGCAAATGAGGTGGAAACTGAGGGGAACGGCATGCTGCACTGCAGGGTTGGCTCTCTGTTCACTGGCCGGAGCAGCTTCCACCCTGGAGAGCCCCATGAGGGAATAGTTGGACTCCCCACAGGTCAGTGTCAGCTACAGACAAGCACTTATGTGTTTTTATTTCTTTATTTATTTCTTAGTGTTCAGTTCAGAGTTCAGTTTTCTTCGTATCTGGAGGGTTTTGGAATTATGATGTCAACGGCCGAGTCTTAAACTGAAGCCGTGGTCTGGAAGAGGCTTGGCAAAACAAGCGACCGGGAAGGAACACTTTATCGAGACGCTCCTTCTTTCTCGCCAGGTGGCGGTCCAGGCCCGCTGGTCATCTGCTCCGACTGCTACGACAGCGCCAACATCTACTCTCGCACGCGGGAGTACTGCCCCTACGCCTATCTGGGGGAGGACGACCCGCTCGACAAGACTCTGCCGGGCCTGAAGGAGAGCTTCGGTGAGCAGGCCCAGCACGAGGATCGGGCACTGGAGAGCCTTATTAGCAACCTGGACTCCAACTTTCACACCTCTCATGACAAAAGGTTGAGCAGCCACATCCCCCCGGAGCACTATGCTAATGGTGAGACATTTTACCTAATAGAGGAAGGTGATGGCGCCATCCCTTGTCTAGGTGCCAACTATCATGTCCTACCCGCTGAGGTGTTTTTGGGTAACATGTTGAATTTTCTCCCTCCTGCAGCTACTGAAAAATCTATTTAAGAAAAAACTCCTGTTAACATTTCCCCCCCTTTCTGTGGTTTGTTATAAATCTTGCAATCTTTTTGGTTGGAAATCAGTTGGTGGGAGATAATATGTAGGCGTCTAATTATTGTGTTTTACCGTCTTTGCAGATTATCTCAGCAGGTCCTTCTGGGGACAAGGCGAAGGTCCGTCCACGAAAGCCCAAGCAGGCGCGTTGCAGCACCCAGTGACAGTACACAGGACGCCTCCTCTGACGTCCACTGCCGACGGGGCAGAGGACCCGAGTGAAGCAGAGGCGGACTGTTTCCCCGGCCGATGCACACAGGACCACAGAAGTGCCTCTGATAGGACTAACCCTCAGGAGCATCCTGCTCCCACATAGGTCCTCCCACCTCCACCCACGTTCTGCCTCTGACCCCCTTTGCTGCAACCCCTCCCCCACCCCGCCCTCCCTTTACCCACTACCTCCAAAGAGACTCCTCACATTCTGCCAAAGATGCTCTCTTGTATGTTTACATTCCCCTTTTCACTCAAGAGGACATACGAACGTTCTCCATCACTGTGGAGCGGCCGCCGTGTCGGACTGGAGAAATGGACCAGCGATTCGATTTACCTCCTCGTTGACCCCCCCCCCCCCCTCCTCTCCCCACGTCCTCCACTCTTTTTGTTCTCTTTCTAGAGAAAGGCTATGAATGTATGCTTTAAAGAGCCATGTCGGATGCTGCCGTGAGAGAACGCCAAGGCGTGGTGGAGTCTTGGCGATCTCTCTCCTCCGTCCCCGCTGCTGTGGAGCTGAAATCTTTTTGCGCCAGCGCACGTCACGCTGGCGTGCCGATTGTAGTTTCCTGACCAGCAGTTTGTGGTTGTTGATATAGGAAAGAACATTGAAAACATATGCGCCCTACATTCCCACAGCCATCCCGACTGACTCAAAGCTATGCCGTCTGGTATCTTGTTATGCAAATCCCAGAGACATTGACACCAGAATGTGGTGTATATTATGAATATATATATATATATATATATATATATATATATAGCCTATATCGTCTTTATCCAATCTTGTTTTTGTCCTATGTCGATTGCTAATTCCTTCATTTTATATGTCTTCACAATGATGAGCTGTTTGGGGAGAAAGCGTAACATTTTTGTGCACATGTGACAATCATGGTTTTGCTGGCAATTTGTTTTTGAATGGTTGTCTATTGGACGGCCTTTTTAACAAGCATTCTCAGTAACGTCAGTCAGGTGACATTATGGCGTGTGTATATGTATGCACTGATTGGGTTCCCCCCCTTATCATATCTTACAGCACTTAATTTAACGGTGGTAAACATTATTATGCAGTATGCATGCCTTTTTACATTGTGAGGATTTATCATCATCACAGTTTTATCTCAAAACGTTCCCAATCCTTCCGTAGGTATTGATTAAGTCTAGGTTTTCACTTGGGACTGTGAAACATGAGAATGTATTGTGTTATTTTATACATATATGTACGTGTACATAAGGCTGGTAGTCTATTGAATTCCATGTCCTATAGTCCATCTGCAGAGAGGTTTGAGACATGACCTGCAGTCATGTTAAGCTTGTTCATGTTAAGTCCTTATTGAGTCAGCATTTATTACCTGTTTGTTTAGGTAACGAGATGAACACCTCTTCTTGAGGTGAGGTTATTTTCTTCCTCACTGAGAGACGAGCAGCTGCCAGTTTCAGCAAACTGTTCTGTTTCCACATGTTGGCTGTTAAGTTGCTTTGAAGAGTTGAAGATTGGACATGCCTCTCACGTGAAAGAACGTGGCCTTGTTTAATCGGGTGCAATGAGTTTTCCTTAAAAAAAAATCCTCCTTGATTTTTGCACTTCTAAATTGCCGTTGGTTTTGACTCATAAAATGCTAATTACACTCAGTGGCCGTTTGATCAAACAAACGCAGTACTGTAATGCATCCAACCTTCATCAATGTTCAGGTTTTTAAAATAGTTTTAGAGAGGTGTTGATTACATTTTATGGTCATTTTGGAAGGATGTGGTTTGTATACTTTTGGGTTTGACAGGTGCTTCTATTATTTTGTCCACCCCATTAACGTCAGTGAGGGGAGGCCACACCTTTCTCAAACCGTTTCAACAACAAAACCTTCATGAGGGTTTGATTTATTCCAGGTCTGCTTGCCTTAGTTTTATCTCGGGGTTCCTAATAAACAGGCGGAGTGTGAACGCTCCTTTTTTGTTGCTGTCACTTCCGTAATGTTGAGAATGAACTGAACTATCAGTAACACTGAAAAGTTCATCTTATAGAGCGAATGTGTGGTGGTGTAGTGTCACAAAATGTATCCTGGACATACAAATTATTGTTACTTTGTATCACTGCTGCTTGAAATGGACTACACGTATGTTTTGTCTCAGTGGTGCGTGCAGATATGATTTGCAGATGAAAGCATTTTTGTTTTCTTGACGTTTTCTGACTGTTGGCCAATTTCATCCCCCCCTTTGACCGATAGAGACATTCAGATAACACCTTGCAGTGATAAGTCATCCTAATGGAGCTACGTGTCGATTCACTGTTCAATAGTTTCTGCCAACACAGCATAACATAATGTGCATTAGCATTGTTTTATTCTCCGAACGCCCTTTCTGACTTTATACCAAAGTTAAGCAGTAAATGCTCCGGCAATACCCAACGCTGCTTTATTCTTCTTCTTTTGTTGTTTAAGTTTTGCATTTTGTTTTCAGTCGTATTGTTTTGGGACCTTGTTTACCTGTACATTCTGTAAAGCATGTCTGAAGAGCCTTTTTGTTACGTAGCCATTACTCTGACATTAAACATGAATTCTGATAATTTGGCCTGGATTGTGGTCGTCTGCCTCGACGCTCTCCTCAAGTAGAAATGGGATGACTTTTGTTGTCGGTTATTTTCTTGATGGGACTTTCTCTGACATATTTTAAGTGTTTGGTTTGTTCAAAACCCAAAGACATTGATTTTACAACGATACATAAGAGAGAGAAACAGGGACTGCTCATGTTTCAACATACGTATATTGTGTGTGTGGTTTTTTTTTTACAGGCAGTAGGGGGGCTGAAAGAGTTCTTGCAGGATTTGATTTAGGTTGCATGTAATTCCAGGCGCTGGGGGGTCTTAACCACAACACGATTTCTGGGCACACAACATGGAACGATTTTAAAAAGGCCAAGCCATCTGTAATCTGGATTTGCCCGCACACAGCCCGCTAATATGGGCCTTAAAAGACTGTTAGTCCATCATCAGTCTTGACATTAAGAAAAAAAAAAAAAGGACCATTTTTAAAAGTCCCTATCAACATAAAACCTCAGTAGAATCATTGGCTACGAGTTGACTCTGACTGCGCGTGAGCCTTTTGAAGAGTCTGCAGTTAGTTTGGATCCCCGGCCCCCCATCAAAGACACGATGGCATTGTTAATCGTCCTCCACAAGGCGATGAATTATTCAGGCCGACGTCCAGGGTGGCGACTCGGTACTTAAACACAGACTTCTAATGCATCACACCCAGAGAACAGCAACTGTACTGCTGCTTCATAAATACTACAGACTCTGTGTTTTCCCCGCTTCCTCTTGGAAAGTTAATTAACTCGACTACACGGCGTTAACATTTGACTGTCCCGTGAGTCAACACGCCCATATTGTCGGAATCCATCATCCTGTATCGGAGTTTTTTTTTTTTTCTTTTTTTTGGGGGGGGGGGGGTCAAAAACGCAAACTGCATCATTCATAGCACGCTGTGAAACTGCGCCACTAATCTCCTCAGATGAAGTGATATTTATAGAAGCTTAATTAATTTGCACTTTAACACCCCGTACATTTAGCATCATGTTGGCTTTTTCATCCAGTTCTGGTACCATTGTATCATGAATCCAACATGTCAGTTGTATCGCATTGATGGGATTGTATTAGATATGTGCTCTCAGGCCAGGAGCTGTTTAGGTCTGAACATAGATCTATGGGAGTTTCCCCTCGAATAAAAAGGTCAGATTTTCTACACCAGACCTAATGATACATGTATGAACACTAAAGCTACTTTTAAGCATTTTCTGCACACACAATTGGAAAAACAAAGACAGCAGTCTAGTAATAATGAACGCTTAACACTCATTGTAGCTCGAGCATAGTGGATAAATGCGGTTGAAGGCAGTCGAGCTCGATGCTGTGTAGCTATGCAAGTGTGAGTGATAGGAGGGCGAACTGGAGCAGTACATGGTTGTGATCTCTCTGATTGTGTCGGTAGGCGGCGCTGTGGAGACGCGTATTATGTACGTTTAACCCCAACAATACTTACCTCACTCTGTGCAAATGAATGAGGTGTAATTTGTTCTGCGCGCTTATTATTAGCATTACATGCTCTGTGTATTTTTATCTAGTCGTACTTGTTACACGCATTCTGCCTGATATTCAAGACATGTTTAAAAAAACAAATGCAAATGACTAAAATGACAATAAATTACAGTGAACATTACTGGACAGTGTGTGCTTTATTTATATTGATTTGTATTTAATACCACAGCACACCGGAGGATGGAGCCAGCGTGAGCGTCTACAAAGCGCTACTGCTGCTGCTGAGACTTAAAAAAGAAAGAAAAGGGGGCGTTTCGGGAGCTTGGCAACGTCTCTCCTGGCGGTGCCAGGTGTGTTCAAACCTGTAGCGGACAAAACGCTCGCAGATGTCTGTCGGCTCAGTCACCGTGGGGCTGGATCTCGACCGCAGGAACCGCCAACCGGTGATCGCCGCCGCCCCGTCTATTCTCAGCCTGCCCACAGGTATGAGGGCTTTCTCGTTGACGCGCTACGTTTCGGCGGCAGACGCTCCACCATCCGCCGCCGAGTGAGTGACAAATACTCTCTGTTTACATTTTTGTTTGGACCCGGGGAGACGAAGCGAAGCGCGGGTACCGTGCCGGAGGAGCGTCGCAGAGTGAAACCCGAATTGCTCCCCTTCCCTTTTTTTTTTTTTTTTTTTCTCTCTCTCTCAACTCTCCTGTTTTTACGCACAAGGAGCGCTCGGAGTTATTGCAACCCAGGCAACTGTGCGCACAAACCCCGTGGGATGACGCACCTCGGCGGCGGATTCACGGGGTGAAAATCGGCCTCCCAAATGGCAGGAAGATGAAATCCCCATCAGCTGCAGCAGAAGGTCGAGAGAATAACTCAGGAGGGTTTATTAGGCCGCGTCACTTCGCGTTCATCTAACAGCAGCAAACCGAGGTAACCAGTTTGATCGCTAGTTGTTCGTAAAAGGGAGTAACCATGTCCAGGACACTGAAGAAGAAGAAACACTGGTCCGGTAAAGTGGTGGAGTGCGCGGTGTCATGGGGGAACTTTGGGGACTTTGGCTCCGTGGTGGAGGTCCTCGGAGGAGCGGAGCTGGGACAGTTCCCCTACCTGGGCCAGATGAAGCTGGACGTGCTGGTGTGTCACGTCGGGAAGCTGCCCTACTACGGGGACGTTTTGCTGGAGGTGAACGGGACGCCCGTCAGTGGACTTACAAACCGCGACACCCTGGCTGTCATCCGCCACTTTCCGGAGCCGGTTCGCTTGAAGACGGTGAAACCAGGTGCGTCCCCTATCCCCCCCCCCCCATATTCCCACCACTGCTGTGTCACCTGAGCTCTGTTTGTAAGATGTTGACAAGCTTCATCCACCGAACACAACCCCCCTCATGGTGATACACACCCAGTGATGTAGAGAAACATTGGCTCCTATTAGTGCTCATCTCAAGACAAACGTCCTCAAATCAAAATTCAAATCACATCAGTGACTCCCTCCTCCTATAACTTGCAATAGGTTCAAATGTCTCCCTGTGATATGACAGACATGTCAAACTTAAGTTGACTAAAACATTGCAAAATAGAATTTAATAATAAGGTGAATACAGTGACTTTTACTGTAAACCTCCTACTGTACCGAGACATCTAACTCAATGGGACATTTCTCTCACCGCTTTCTCAGGGAGATCAGATAGTGATAATGGTAATAATGGCATGTAGCCCAGTTGGAGCCTTCCAGTGTAAGTGCACTTCCATGCATAGAAATAAGGCCTAATTACACCCTCCATTATTCAGTCTACTGTGCTTCCCATTGGCTTGCAGAAGCCGGAGTGGTTTCGCCGCACCTTACCCCGTTGTCCTACCATCCAGCTCTCCAAGGATGCTAGCTGCAACATCCAAACACCCTGATAATGAGCTCTAATAGCTGTGATGGCTTGCTGCAGCTGCTACTGCTCTTCTGGTTCTGGTTCTGGTTGTGGCCCGAGCTGAGGTAGCTCAGGTGAAGGGTTTTAATGGCTCTGAGGAGATACAGTTGTGTGTGGCGGGGAGGGAGATGGCCATTACTGTGCTTGTATGTTGGGGCTGGACTGTCTCAACAACAACTGAGACTGTTCAAAAAGGTCACGGCAGCAGCAGCTGAGTTCCAGAAACGTCAGGCCAGGATCCCTGAAGATCAGCTGTATGTGCACGCGTGCCTTCTTCTGTGTGTGTGTGTGTGTGTGTGTGTGTGTGTGTGTGTGTGTGTGTGT